TTTCTCTGAGCTCACCGAATTCTTGCAGAAGTTCAATGGACTAGAATTAGGTAAGAGGAAGCAAGATTGTGGCAAGGGTATAGATCTGCTGAAGCCTTTTAAATTCACCTTTTACCTAAAATCATGTCTTGCCTTGTGATAAAAGATGAGGTTAGGATTATTAAAGGATATTAGACTGTTCTAAAGAACCACTTAAATAAGGATTGCCAAGTGACCTTTTTCTGTGCTGACTATAAGTGGATAGGTTTAGAAAATGATGTCAGAGATCTCCTAAAGACTTGGTCTCTGACCCACAGAGACAGCTGACCTGAACAAGGAGGAGCTAATGGGCCTCCAGACTGATAGCTGTGAATCCAGCATTGGACCGACTCAGACCCCCTGAACGTGGGTCTCACTTAGAAGGGCTAGGCAGTCTAAGAGTCCTCTGACAGTGGAACCAGGATGTATCCCTGGGGCACAAAAGGACTTTGGGAGCACATTCCCCATGGAAGGATACTCCCTTAACCTAGAGGACTTGACAGATTTAGATGACCCCTCCAGGAAGGCATCACCCTACATGTGGAGTGGGGGGGGAATGGGATGGGAGGGTGGTCGGGGGGCATGGGAGGGTGGAAGAGAGGGAGGGACGGAGAGGGAACATAAGAAGAAAAAAAGACTTAGTCTCTGTATGTGTAGGAAGATGAAGACAAGGACAGGAAGCTCTGTAGCTGAAGGGTACCAGGCAAAGTCTGGTTCTCTGGGGAAGTGAGGAAGAGTTTTTGCCAAAGTTCAGAGTTCTGTTATTTCTTCCTGTAGCCCCCAAATAATGACACAGAGACTTATTATTAATTATGAAAGCTTGGCCTTAGCTTAGGCCTTTTCCCAACTAGCTCTTGTAACTCAAATTAACCTGGTTATATTACTCTACCTTCTATTACATGTGTGTCTGACTTGTTTTGTGTCTTCAAGGCGTCTCTACCTTTCCTCTTCCCTCTCTCCCCTGAAACCCTGCCTATTCTCTCCTGCCTAGCTATTGGCCATTCAGCTCTTATTACACCAATCACAGTTACACATCTTCATACAGTGTACACAAATATTCCTCAATATCTACTTTTATCCTTGTTGATGTGTTTGTATTTACATTAGCATCATCCTACTCATTTCCTAGATTACACCTAGCCTCTAGAGGCAGAAATGTTTATTACAAACATCTTGTGTAAGTTTTTTTGCTTCCTTGGGCAGTGGTTTTCAACCTATAGGTTACAACCCCTTTGTGGTTAAACAACCCTTTGACAGGGGTTGCCTAAGACCAGGAGAAAACACAGATATTTATGTTATGATTCATAACTAGCAAATTTACGGTGATAAAGTAGCAATGAAAATAATTTTGTGTTTGGGGGTCACCATATCATGAGGAATTATATTCAAGTGTTGCAGCATTAGAAATGTTGAGAACCAGTGCCTTAGGTTAATACCCTTTTTGGCCCAATTTTGATGCCATTTTACAATAAGCATCCACCAGTTAAGAGTTGTGTGATTGAAGCATATTATTTAAAGATAATTTCTTTGCATTTTCAAAATTCTGGGCTTGATTACTTAGTACCAGCTGGGTAATAATTGTTTAATTCTCTTGATGGAGAAAAGGATATCATTTGGAAATGTTTTACCTTGCAAGAAAAACAATAGATTCTAGAAATTATTAGAATTTTTATCTTTTAAAATTTACGTTCTATCTATGTATGTCTAGTTTTTTTTTGCATATGTAGTATTTTTGTAGTGAGAAAAATGTAGGCACTAAAATAAAATACTAGAGCATTAGGATTTGGGCATCTACAACTACACACACACAAAAAAAATTACACATGAATAGTCTGCATTACAGTGTTCACTGAATTAGCCTCTCAAAACCAACTCTGTCCAATTACTTCCTAGTCTACTGTGATTATGATATTTGTAGTTTTTAGATGTTATTAGTGAATGCCATTCTTTTCTGTGAATGATAATGATAACTAAAATTAGTATCAAAATCTGTGAGTAAAGTTCATACTTTCTGTAAAATTGAGCTTCTGTATTCACATGCATTCTGTGATGTGTAAATGTAGGACAAAGTTGGTTCTTTCTTTCAGCTATGTGGGTCTCAGGAATCAAACTCAGGTTATGAGGCTTAGCGTATGAATCCTTACCTATTGAGAAATCTCACTACCTTCCTCTATATATCATTTATACCTATTGAGAAATCTCACTACCTTCCTCTATATATCATTTAGATATATTTTTAGTACATGTGTAGAAATAAATGTGCATTTTAAGAGGCAGTTATGGATAAAGCTATTGTACTTAAGGTGGTATCATATTGGCAAAAGAATAGAATAATATATCATTTGAACATTATATATTATCCAGAAATAGATTGTTTTAGAGTCTGCATTATTTGATCTTCAGCAAAAGAGCAAAGGCTATACAATAGGAAAATAATATTTTCAACAATTGGTGCTAGAATAACTGCATATCCTTTATAGAATATCCTCATAGAATAACCACAAATTATGACTAAACACAGAGCTTTCACTCTTTATAAAGATAAACACAATAAATGTAAAGTACACAATAGTACTCATGGGTATGGGATTTGGTGATGGGGTTGTATGTGTAAAACCACAGAAAAGAACTGAAATTTCAGTTTTTTCCATTAAAATTTTATGTTCCAAGATGCTGTATGGTACACTTTAAGTATACTAGCTAAAACCCAGAACATTGACAGCCCCAAATTATTGTGGGGATACAGAGAAACAGATGCTTCCTCATTCATTGTTGGTAGAAATGTAAAATGAGCTTACTGCTGGGAAAGACAGTTCTGTGGTCTCATACAAACTTGAAATATTTTTACCATGTGACCCAGCAATCAATACATTTGTATTTCTTCCAAAGTAGTTAAAAAGTAATGTCCACACAGAAGCCTGTGTGTGGGTTTTTGTAGCAACATTATTCATAATTGCCATGACTTAAAAACAACCAAAATATGCTTCAGGTAATAAGTAAATAAACTAGCATACCAGACAGTTAGAATATTTTTCATCACTAAAAAATAAGTGAGCTGTCAAGCTCACTTGATATGTATATAGTGTAGAAAACATAACTGTACAATTTAGTGAAACTGATCTGAAAAGCGCATATAATATGTGATTCCAATCATATGACTTTCTAGAAAAATGTGAAAACTATGAAGACAGTAGAAAGACCAGTTCTTTCTACTGATGGAGGATGGAAGGCTGACTGTACAGAGAGCTGGTGATTTTTAGGGCAGTGAGACTACTCTGTGAGGCTACTCTACAATGTCTGACACGTTTTACATGTTTACCCAAATCTATAGGACATACAAGAGTAAAGCCTAATGTAAATTTAGCTTTCAGTGATAATGAGGTGTCTATATAGTTTCATCAATTGTTGTGAATTCCCTACTCTGCTGAATGATAAAGATCAATGATTGAGGTTCTGCGTGTGTGTGGGTTGAAGGTATACGGAAATTCCTTGTTTATTCTGTTCAGTTTTGCTATGAACCTAAAGCTGCTCTAAAATAAATAAAAACATGTCAAGACAATTTTTAAAAGGAAGAATCAGAAGGTATCAATATTCTCATTTTTGTGGGTGAGAAAATAGAAGATGGGAAGGATGCCATTTTCCTAGTACAGAGTGATGTGGCAAAAGTCAAACCAAGAGCCAGACTCACGGTTGGTTGCCAATTTATAGCCTTTCTCCCATTCCTCTTCATGCTAATGGGTGCAGATGGTAGCATCCTGTAATAAGTGATTGCATTTCTGTACCCATGACTCTAAGTGGTTATGTATTTATTGGACAATAGAACTCAAGGCTGACTGTATAGTAATCTCGGATGTTGTACAGTGCTCCATTTAAATGGGCCACATCCTGTATCCTCAAACTACCACTGTTTATGAGTACTGAGTCCACCCACTTGCCATAAGCCATTTTAAGAAAGAAACACCTAAATGTTAAAACCTTTCAGTTTAAGGCAGGTTGACTTTTAGTAAGAAGCAATATTTGTCCCCTCTTCAGCACTCTTAAGAGTGAACCCAACTGAACTCCTATAGTCAGCATCTAAAACAGTCTATGGTAGATAGAGCAAAACATCTTGAGTAATTTATTATTACTTTATGTGCCTACTAATGGAATGTGCTTAGTGACATCAACAAAATATATCAGGGACTAGAGGTAGGGTTCAGCAGTTAAAAACACTTACTGCTTTATTACAGAACCAGAGTTCAGATCCCATGGCCAACACCAGGAGGCTTTTGAGTATCTGTAACTCCAGTTCCAAAGGATCTGATGCTTTCTTCTGGCCTCTTTTGGAACCACTGAACGGCCGTACATATAAATAAAATATGCATTCTTCAATAGGAAGAAGGAATGCTAGACATAGTATTGACTCTGCAGGAACTGATAGACCAAACGACAAAACAAAACACATTCTGTAAAGGACTCTTCATATTCTCATTGACCAAGAGAGGCATCAGGAATGAGTTTCAGTCTGAGTTGCCTCTGAAGCGAACCCCGAGGAGTTGAGGCATGCATTTGAAGGGAATGTATAACAAGCATGAGAGAATAAATACTGAAGGATGCAAGAGGGTGACACAGAAATCACAAATGGGTGATTAGAAGTTAAAGCCTATGAGTGAACACTGGGAATAGTGTAGAACACATTCTTCACTTATTCTACATAACAGTTGAGGAAACTAGCTCTCACTCGGGCTTGACCTGAGTTATTAAGAGGTTCACCCATGGATCTTAATTCCCTGGTGCTTCAGCCTAACAGGAATATGTATATGGCAACCTTCTGTAATTCTGGAAAAATCCCTCCAGCAGTCTCAGATAGCAACAGGTAGAAGTTAGTCTACATTGTATTACAGAGGAATTCAAGGCCTGTGGGTGAGAGATGGCAGAACATAGGCCATAGGATTCCTGGTGGATGTGAAATTTGACATTGCTCTTTTCTCTTCTCACTTCAGGTGTCATCATGACCTTGTCCCTGTTGTCCATTGTGTATGGAGCCTTGCGTTGCAACATCTTAGCCATCAAAATCAAGTACGATGAGTATGAAGTCAAAGTCAAACCCCTGGCCTATGTCTGTATCTTCCTATGGAGGAGCTTTGAGATTGCCACCCGCGTCATCGTCCTGGTCCTCTTTACCTCTGTCCTGAAGATCTGGGTGGTGGCAGTCATACTTGTCAACTTCTTCAGCTTCTTCTTGTACCCCTGGATTCTTTTCTGGTGCAGTGGCTCCCCATTCCCCGAAAACATTGAGAAGGCACTGAGTAGGGTGGGTACCACCATCGTACTGGGTTTCCTCACTTTACTCTATGCTGGTATCAACATGTTCTGCTGGTCAGCTGTACAGCTCAAAATCGACAGTCCTGACCTCATCAGCAAATCCCAGAATTGGTACCGGCTTCTGATTTACTACATGATGAGATTCATTGAGAATTCCGTCCTCCTGCTCCTGTGGTATTTTTTCAAAACTGACATATACATGTATGTGTGTGCACCTCTGTTGATTCTGCAGCTGCTCATTGCATATTGCACAGGTGTTCTTTTCATGCTTGTGTTCTATCAGTTTTTCCACCCTTGCAAGAAGCTCTTCTCTTCCAGTGTTTCTGAAAGCTTTAGGTCATGTCTCAGGTGTGTCTGCCTGTCCTGTGTGAGGAGAAAATCCTCTGAGCCAGTAGTAAAGGTAGACACGGATTTAAAGTCATGCACAGATCAAGATCCAGATCCAGAACAAGATCAAGGTGAAGGTGAAGATCAAGATGTAAGACCTTCTACCAGTAGAGTAAGTTCTCATCCCTCTGAAATGTGGAGTGCTGTTGATGTGTACTCTGCTTAATGGACCCTGAAGCATTTCAAAAGAAAGGGATATTGTATTCTGGGATAATAACTACTCTTCATACAAGGAAATGAGCCCCTCACAGGGAATAAGACCGGAAATTAGCTGTCAATTCCTTGTGAGCTGCTGCGTTTTATAGAACTCTTTGATTTGAGGTAGCTATGGGGAGCACTAGGGAAGCTTACTACCCCACAGTTTTTTTCACAGTTGACTCTGTTATGTTCTTGCAGGCATTACTGGCCATTTTATTGACACAGTTTCCCTGAAGTTTCAGTTGAACTGGTCATATTCATCAGATATAATAAAGAAAAATGCTGCTTTCTACATTGTTGTCCCAGTAGCCTGATGCTTTACTACTACTAAATAGAGCTTTATATAGAAGTCACCATGATAGTCGGAATAGGTTAATAGGGATTTTACAACCTCATTCCTATCATAACTTACAGGGAGAGCTGTTTGTTATCAGTGTGTCGCATTTTCACCTCATTAAGAGTTTTTGTACATAACCAACTGTAGCCACACTGGAATGCAATCAGTATTGGTTTCAAGGGCCTAGATTTGGGAACTTTATTCCCTAGGATCCATTGTTACAGTTATTTAGGAAAGCTGAGTTTCATTCCACATGTTTAAGAAATTGGGGATCAGGATGGACTGGGACAACTATTAGAATATCAAAAATGATGGAAGTTTATACAGATAGAACTGTTAACTTTTCCAAATGTCTGAAGATATGAATTGGTTAGAAGGTAGGCTTAATTCTCTTGTCCTATAATTCTGGGAAATTTTTAGTAGAATTTGCTAAGATTAATATTTTAAGAAAAAAGAAAGTAAAACAAATAGTTTTCATTTCCTTCCTCGTCTGCCAGAAAATTTTTAAACAAGACTTACCTCAGTTCATTTGCTATTGTTTCTAGGAAACCCTATAGAAATATCTTCCCCAATTCTAATTTATAGGTTGTTTTAGTTTTCATGATTTGAAGAAAAAGAAGTGTTTTTCCTCACTACCACCCTTAATTAGAGTCATTTTAAGTTATAGAAAGTTAGTGAGATGAGCATTTTGACTTGACATAAGTTTGAGTTAATTTTAATAAGATCATCATTTTATCTTCTTGTACTTTCTCTTTAGTCTGGAACTATTTATTATTGTTTAAAATGGTTGGGTATAATATTATCATTAGTCTGAAGAAAATGCCTGTAACAAGTGCTATTATTTCTACCACTAAAATTTGAATAATAAAATGTCTAGAAACAGGCGATCATAAAGTTTACACTAATTTAAAATGAGAGTTGTAGCAAAATTTAAGAAATTTTCAAAGGTTCCTCTGTTTATGGATTCTATGAGATAGAGCAGACATTTATTTTTCTGACCACATAAATTCATAAAACACATATACCTGGCTATCCAAGTACTAATAATTGGCTTTTTAACTCATTTTGATATCAAAATGATGAATAATTTCATAAAAAAATGAAAATTAATTTGGTAAATAAACTATACTAGAGGATTCATAATGCAGTAAATATTCTTTGACATGTCATTCACACTATTAATATGTATACCATTTTATATGCATACACATCAATAAGGTCCAAAACTGCAGAACGTCCATTTTACTTTCATGAGGTATACTTCCTTACTTATAATTCTCCTGGTTTGTTAGTATTTCTAGTTTAATTTTATGAGCATCCACAGGCAGTACATCCATTTTGACTACTTTTAACATATAAAAGTGAAACTTAAGGTTGTCTGTTCTCTGTTGATCCATGTACCACTTTTCCTGTTTTAAATACGACTAGATTAATTTAGCATACAACATCAAAGTGATACTTTATAGAGCAGATATTTCTCTGTACTTTATACTTTTCATATTTAGAGGTACAAAACTGTAATACAGGGGGAAATGTCTTTGAAAATCTATAACAACTACAAGTAAACCAAAGCAAAGATGTTAAATCACTCTTGGTTATTTCATAAATCAAGGTGTTCAAAATGACTGAAAGTTGGAAGACTGTTCCTAAGTCATTCCAAAATGCTTTCTTCTGTCGAATGACTTCATTATGTTTACAGACACTGTTATTCATTGTGTTTTTACTCTTTAATGTGAAAGACCACCTTTCCCTGAATATTCGCAGTGACTAGGGGCAGAAGTGGTGATACCCTTTTCCAATTTCAGATTATGCCTTGGCACTGAGACTAGAGTCAGCTACCAGCTTGTCACATACTAGGCAGGTTCAGAATTAGACAAGGGCAAGGACACTTGTGTTTTCCCAGCCTGGTTTAAACATGACACAAAATATTTCTTTAATTCTTAATTTTCAAATATATCATAAGCTTCTTTACTTTAGACAGTTGGTAAGCATCTTGAATGACCCCAAACAAAACTAACAGTGATTAATTATCAGACACTGAAGGCCAGTTCAAGCTTTATAATGACTGCTTTTTCGTTTTTAGCAAACCAGATATTATTTCAGTCTCTTAGTAAACAGGCATTTTCCTGGTGCAATCTCACAAACTCAATTACTCTATGCCTCAGTTTCCTCATTCACCAAATTAAGATGATATACTTGTCCAACTTATCTCACAAACCTGTTGGAAAGATTTCATTAAGTAAGAGGTACAAACATATTTTTCAAACATTTTGCAAAGATTTTCAAAATACCTTAAAGAGTATTATTCAAGTCCATAAACAGGTTATTGTTTGTATTTTGTTTTGTTATTTACTGTCTGAAATGAGATTAAGTAGTTTTACCCACATCAGTGTCTTGAGTGAACACATAGGCCTTTGATCTCTGCAATTGTGCTCTGTTACCATCAGTTGATTACAAAACTTAATTCTCAGGGCATGTGAGATGGCTCAGCAGGGAAAGGTGCTTGTCACCAAACCCAACACTTTGAGTCCCATCCTTGGGACCTACAAGGTAGAAGGAGAGAAATGTTCCACAAGTTGTGTCTGATTGTCTGATTTCCACAAGCATACCATGGTGTACCAAGTTCCCCCCCCACACACACAATAAATGCATAAATATTTTTAAAATAGGCCCCAGCCCTTAGTACTTGGCAGGAAAAGAAAGAGCCAGTGGATCTGAGTAAGTGCTTCTGGTCGCATATAAGTTTATTGTCTAGGTATTATATTTCATAAAGAATGTAACAGCATCTTTTGATGATTGTACAGTACAACTTAAATGGCTTATTCAAAGCATTAATTAAATGTGAATGTGATCTGTTCAATTTTGTATATGGGAAAATAAGCATTAGCATTGACTGTCTTGACAACACAGCATTTCCTTGAGATCTATCTTGCAACATTAGTATGGTTGTGTGTGCCAGTACATCTCAGCCAATGGATTGTGGATATGAACTTTTGTGGATTGCTTCTCTGAGTCACTGGCTCAAATATTGCTTATGTTTCTTCATATAATAAATTAAGTTTTCATTTTTTCTTGCATTTTATTTCTTGTACAGTCCTCAAATGACTTCTTTTAAAATTTAAGGCTCATTTGAAAATGTTTTGTTTTGTGTTTGTGTGTGGTTTTTTTTAATGTAAGATGGAAATTCCTGCCATAGCATGAGAAATTTAAGAATGCTAAGATTTAGCCTTAAACAACAGCTCTCCATGAAAACACTGTTTTTTTTTTTTTGGTTTTGTGTGTGTGTGTGTGTGTGTGTGTGTGTGTGTAAGAATTTGCTCAGTTTATTGAAGCCATGCTGCTGGGTACTTCTACTAAGAGTTTGCTGAATTGTGTCAGTTGTTGTGTATGACACAAAGACAAATGTGATATATGTAGATAATAAATATATATTTGTATATCATATATATTCTACATAAACATGAATGTTATGGTGATCCATAAATATAAAATATGAGGGTGACTTTAGCTTTTTGGGAACATTTTATAAAAATATGTTGATATAATAGAAATTAATTGCTTCTGTTATTGGAAAATATCACGTGTTGAAAGGGGTCATTGGAGAACATGAGCTAGATATGGGCTGTTTTTAACAATTCCTTTGTTTCTGAAGGTGTCCTTCAGATATGGCTATCTATTCTCTTTCCTATTTTTTTTTTAAAGCTTTGTTGAAGTATGATTGCTGCACAAAAACACACATATTGAATGTGTACGCTTATTGAGTTTAGGCATTTGCAAATATCCATGATATTACCACAAGCAAGATGCCACACCTCAAAAAGTTTAATTGTGTTTCATTGTTATTACTTCTTTTTCTTTTTGTAGAAGAACACAACATGAGAACTACCCTCTTACAGTTCATAATACCTCTTCTAGCAAATGTATGCACTATGTTGTGTAGCAGATGTCTAGAATGTACACGGTATAAAGTTGAACTTCCATACCCATCTAGCAACAATGGTTTTCCCCCTAGGCATTGGCGACTAGTATCTGTCTGAGTCTATGAGTTTGATTATTTTAGATACCTCATGTAAGTTCTGATAGCAGTAGCAGCTTTCTTTTTAGGGGGGAAGTTGTTTAATATTCCATTGCATGTATATACTATGTTTTCTTTATTCGTTTGTATTCTTTTCCAAATGCTATTGTTGTGAATATAGAAGTGCAGTTGACTTTTAAGCATCTTGACTTTGTTTATTTTGGCTACATTCCCAGAAGGATCATATGTTAGTTCTTTTATTTATTTTAATTTTGGGGGACTAGCTGACTGACTGTCATCTAGGCCAAGAGACTGCCATCTTGGGGCCTTCAGGTATGCCCTTGCAAAAAAAGAAAAGAAAACTTCCTAACTGTGCTTGTTGACAGTCTGCATCCAAACTGCCCCCCAGCCTCAACTGAGTATCCACCTGTTCCCTACTAACTGGCATCTTTGCTTGTGGCCTGGGGGAGGGAGTAGAGTATATGTGTATATATCTATAGCTATACATACACATTGTGTATGTGTTTTGGGGAACACTAAATTGGAGCTGCATATTTGCAGTTAAGGGGAAAGCCCTTATCCATTCTGGGTAAGGCATTCCAGGTATAACAGGTTGAGGGAAGAATGCCCACACCCCTCTCATCTGAGCTCTGTACATGACTAGCACAAAACCAACTCTGGTGGTT